AAAAAAAAAAAAAAAAAAAAAACTAATAATTTCAGTTCAAATTTTTTTATCTCGGTTCAATTGCCTTTTTTTACTTTTAACAACTCGATTATGCCAGTTCGATATCGGATATTTTTTATTTAGGCTACCGAACTATGTAAAAACAAATTATTAATTTTATTAATATTTTTTTATGTTATCAATTTTCAGTCACAAAAAATGAAAAATACTAAACAATAAATTGAAATATTAAAATATTATTAATAGTTTGATTAATTACAAATTCACTCATGAACTAAATTGTAATTTTCAAAAATTGTTGAAATTGCACCTATGCCCATAAGAGTTATCAAATTTACAAAAAGAAGTCCCTACCATAAATCTGAAAACACGCTCTTGCCCTTTCATCTCGGTCGCCGTCGGGGACCTCACCCTGCGGCCACCGGAGGACCTTCACTATCCGAAGACCACCTTTCCGATGCCAGACGCCTCCATCATCGGAGACTTGGGGCTGCTAGCCGTTAATATCACCGTAGCGCTCGACGGTACTATTTCAGCGCCAGATATGGTGTTAACGGCGACGGGACGGCCGGGAAGACGACGACGACGAGATGATACTTCGGCGGGCTGAGACCTGGTGTATGCGGTGGTCCGTCTAGGGTCCAACGGAGGACGGTTGTTTTGTCAATTTTTCTGGCGGAGGCCAAGGGACGAGATGGCGGAGGCTCCGGCGGCGAACTGGTGGTCCAATGTATGTGTCGTTTGGTGTGTGCAGTGTGTGATGTGTGTGTCTGTACGCAGACTGTGTGTGTGCGCGAGTGTATGTGTTTTGAACACGTGTGTGAGAGAGGTGAAAGGGTGTGTGGGGCTGGGAGGGAGAAGGTGACGTGAGAGTTGTTTGGGGTGGGTCCCATTGGCAAGTGCCATGTGATAAATGACATATTTGTCCTTAATAATAATCAAATACATATATTTGACCCTAATATATTCATTTATTTACAATAATACCATCCATATTTGACTGTCATTATTAATATTTGACTTGATCATGGCTATTAACTTGATAGATCTAGTGGTCTACAATCATTCTTATTTTTTTCACTATCTATCTTTTTCATATGATCCCTTATATGTATTATTTGGAGGTATATATACATATGTTTGGTTTTGCCAAAATAAAATGCTACATTGCATGTCGATTCAACATATTTTTTGAACAAAAAAAAAGGTTCATGAAAACGTTGCAACGACAAGCATTTAGGTATGTAGATTATATAGAATGTGATTGAATATGGATTTGATATGGTTTTGATGGATTTTTTCGTTAATCACAATAATTATTAAAAGAGGAATTTACACCTCATACAATCAAATATATTTTATATTACATATTTACACCCAATTAATATTTATGTGCAAAGATACAAAATCACCCCAACATATTTACACATATATACTAGATTTTATAAGCTTATTAATTACAATTTAAATATGGGAATTGAATCAATTATGGATCAATTGAGGTAATTAATCCTTAATATCAAGGGGTTCCCTCTCATTATTTTCCTCAATCCAGAATTCCCTCCCATTCTTCTCCTCGATCGCCACCTCAATACGGCCAGCGCAAACCACCACTGCCAACGACGACCCCATCATCACCTCCGTCGTCGATCGGACGACGAACTGGGCAATAAACCCTAGCTACTAATTCATCCACTTATTTCCCGTCGTCTCTGTAGAGATAATGGATGCGCACGACGAAGTTGAGGAGGGAGGAATCGGAGGCGTCCATGGCGGCAGGTGATAACGATCGGAGATGGATTTTCCATTCTCTATCTTCGTCAGCCATATTTTTGTTTTTCTATATTCCATTCACACGGGTTGGAATGGCATATGAATGATCCAGTGCATCCCAAGCCCAAACCATTTGGAAGAGATTCATGATGTCCTTAATTTCCACCGACGTCCTCGTCGAGGGTTGCGGCCTCGCCATGGTTGCGGGAGATGGTTGGTTGGTTGCAGGAAAATTGATGTCTGGTTTGATTTTTTCATTCTACAAATTAGTTTATCATCACTATTTTTGGGATCTTTGAGGATCTCGTTATGTACAAATCACGAATTCAATAGCAAAACGTAAACCTATGCGCAACGGATCTAAAGGGTTGCGTAAAGAACTTACGGTTTAAAATTTATGGTGATCAGGCTGATCTTCTAGATAGTCATACACAGTACACCAATGAATCAGATCACACAAATGGTTGACCGCAAATCACGTCTTGGGATTGCACGAACAAGATCAGATAAAAAATTGAATCAAACGGGTGCAAACGGATGAAACAGAACTTGCATTCTGGGAGCTTACGATGGCACGTGCGGGCGCGTGAGGCGGCGTACGGCGGAGATCTCGGCGGCGATGGAAAGCTGACGTTGAGATGGTCATCTGGGTGTGCTTCCCACCTTGATCGGACCTTCGGTTAGATCTGTACAAAAACATATATTTCATCTCGGTTTACTTACAGATCTTCTACTGTATTACTCAATACACCCTTCTTCAACTTTTACCAGTGGAGCAACAAGAAGAAGACAAAGCTCGAATAAGAACTAAGAGAGAGAGAGGGGCGGCGTGATTGGCGCGTGTTTTTTAGAGACTTCTTATCTTCCCATGAGCTTAATGATGTATATATAGAGCTACAGTAGGAACTCTTATGAGATTAGGAGAAAGACTCCTTAATTAATTAAAATACTTATGGGTCAGCCCATTTATTTTAATTAACTAAATAATATTAATGGTCCACCAACATAATATTATTACACTCTCTTTTCCTAGCCCAATTTACAATTGAAACTTCAATAATAATTACTCAATTTATCTCCCCATGTTTAAGATATAATGTCCATTAATTAATTCGATCACTGACAATCAAGAATTAATTAATTTATTATTATTTCACCAACAAGCTAGTGCTCGTTCATCAC